AGTCTAGTCTAGTCTAGTCTAGTCTAGCCTAGTCTATTCTATTCTAGTCCAGTCTAGCCTAGTCTAGTCTAGTCTAGTCTACAGTCTAGTCCATAGTCTAGTCTATAGTCCTGGTCTATATTATCAAAAATTATCTGCAGAGATCAAATTTATCGAATATTCTCTCAAAGAGTGAGTTTATTGAAAATTCTCTTTAAAAAGATTATTTATCGAAAATTTCTCTAAATTCGTTTAAATAAAAAAATATGACTTAAGGCCTTTTTAAATTCAAGGTAAATAAAAATCTTCCTTAAGCAAACGTGTGGCTCTTTATATGAATTAATGGGGTCCTGTTAGTTTTTACAAATTTACTATGTAATTATTTATTCACAATTTCATTTCAACATGCAACATTACATTGAGTTTGTAATCATGAAACAAGAGCCACTTAAATATTAAAATAATACTTCGATTAATCTAGTTATTTATACATTTTTGTTCACAAAAAAATGTATTTCATAAATATATGTAAGTATATTTTCATAATTAAAGGGATCCATTTGTTTCTGTGTGTCTAACTGTCCGTCCATCCCCAATTGAAAACAAATTCAAGGTAATTTCCAGCTACATTTACTTAACATCTATAACTGGTTGCATGGAGTCGTTTCATTCATGTTAATCGGAAGTGATATAAATTTTCATTTGTAACATTAATCATTGGCTAGTTGGTTGGTGGTGGCTGTTTAACATTTGTATTAAAATAAAGGTACAATGATGTGAATGAATAACTCTTCCTATTTTTAATTTTTTTGTTGCATGACCTTAAAACTAAATATTAATTGATTTTTGTTGTTGAAGATACATATTTAAGACTTATTACAAGCCCTGATTAATTGTAATAATTTATGTTTGTACTAGTCTTAGGCTTAAAAATAATTTATTATCTTTTAATACAAATGAGCTTTGCAAATATAAACTCGGTATTATTTGAATAATTTTCTAATGATTCATTAAATGTTCACACCTCTTAATTGTTGAAGTCTTAAAATTGCTTTAAAATATGACGATGCGATGTAGGAATATTTCAAATTATCAATCATATTCATTTAGTCACTTAGAATGTTAATGATTGTAGGAGCAAAAAATAAAAAAAAAACAAATTGATTTATATTCTAGCAACAAATTGTACTTGTGCGGTAAATAACAATGGGTTTGTGCGTCTTACATATTTTTTTTTAATGTTAAAACTGTTAGAAATTTTTCGATGAATTATATATTTTAAATATTTTTATGAAATTCATGTTTTAATAAGTACTCCATATAAATCTCGCTCTTTAAATAAATTTGTTTACAGTTACCTTTATATAAGGAATTTTGATAAATAATAGAAAAATTAAATTACTACAGAAAATTTTCGATAAATTTCACGTTTTAAAGAATTTTCCTACAAATTTACATTTTTAAAAAATTTTGTATAATTTTTTTTTATATAAAATTTTCTATAAATTTTCTGTCTTTAGAAAATTTCGATAAAATTTGTTCATAAAATTTTTATATAAAATTTCTTTAATTTAATTTTTAGATTTTTTTTGTAAAATTTCATTTAATAGAAAATTTTCGATAAATTTTCTACCAATAGATATCTTTCGTTTTACATTCAATCTTCCTTGTTTTATAGAAAGCTTTTGATACATTTTATAGTCTATAGTCCAGTCTATGGTCTAGTCTATACTCTAGACTATAGACTAGTCTATAGACTAGATTATAGTCTAGTCTATAGTCTAGTCTAGTCTGTAGTCTAGTCTATAGTCTAGTCTGTAGTCTAGTCTATAGTCTAGTCTGTAAGTCTAGTCTATAGTCTAGTCTGTAGTCTAGTCTATAGTCTAGTCTATAGTCTACTCTATAGTCTAGTCTGTAGTCTAGTCTATAGTCTAGTCTATAGTCTACTCTATAGTCTAGTCTAGTCCTAGTCTATAGTGTAGTCTATAGTCTAGTCTATAGTCTAGTCTATAGTCTAGTCTATAGTCTAGTCTATAGTCTAGTCTATAGTCTAGTCTATAGTCTAGTCTATAGTCTAGTCTATAGTCTAGTCTATAGTCTAGTCTATAGTCTAGTCTATAGTCTAGTCTATAGTCTAGTCTATAGTCTAGTCTATAGTCTAGTCTATTAGTAGTCTATAGTCCTAGTCTATAGTCTAGTCTATAGTCTAGTCTATAGTCTAGTCTATAGTCTAGTCTATAGTCTAGTCTATAGTCTAGTCTATAGTCTAGTCTATAGTCTAGTCTATAGTCTAGTCTATAGTCTAGTCTATAGTTCTAGTCTATAGTCTAGTCTATAGTTCTAGTTATAGGTCTAGTCTATAGTCTAGTCTATAGTCTAGTCTATAGTCTAGTCGATAGTCTAGTCTATAGTCTAGTCTATAGTCTAGTCTATAGTCTAGTCTATAGTCTAGTCTATAGTCTAGTCTATAGTCTAGTCTATAGTCTAGTCTATAGTCTAGTCTATAGTCTAGTCTATAGTCTAGTCTATAGTCTAGTCTATGTCTAGTCTATAGTCTAGTCTATAGTCTAGTCTATAGTCTAGTCTATAGTCTAGTCTATAGTCTAGTCTATAGTCTAGTCTATAGTCTAGTCTATAGTCTAGTCTATAGTCTAGTCTATAGTCTAGTCTATAGTCTAGTCTATAGTCTAGTCTATAGTCTAGTCTATAGTCTAGTCTATAGTCTAGTCTATAGTCTAGTCTATAGTCTAGTCTATAGTCTAGTCTATAGTCTAGTCTATAGTCTAGTCTATAGTCTAGTCTATAGTCTAGTCTATAGTCTAGTCTATAGTCTAGTCTATAGTCTAGTCTATAGTCTAGTCTATAGTCTAGTCTATAGTCTAGTCTATAGTCTAGTCTATAGTCTAGTCTATAGTCTAGTCTATAGTCTAGTCTATAGTCTAGTCTATAGTCTAGTCTATAGTCTAGTCTATAGTCTAGTCTATAGTCTAGTCTATAGTCTAGTCTATAGTCTAGTCTATAGTCTAGTCTATAGTCTAGTCTAGTCTATAGTCTAGTCTAGTCTAGTCTAGTCTAGTCTATAGTCTAGTCTATAGTCTAGTCTATAGTCTAGTCTATAGTCTAGTCTATAGTCTAGTCTATAGTCTAGTCTATAGTCTAGTCTATAGTCTAGTCTATAGTCTATCTATAGTCTAGTCTATAGTAGTCTATAGTCTAGTCTATAGTCTAGTCTATAGTCTAGTCTATAGTCTAGTCTATAGTCTAGTCTATAGTCTAGTCTATAGTCTAGTCTATAGTCTAGTCTATAGTCTAGTCTATAGTCTAGTCTATAGTCTAGTCTATAGTCTAGTCTATAGTCTAGTCTATAGTCTAGTCTATAGTCTAGTCTATAGTCTAGTCTATAGTCTAGTCTATAGTCTAGTCTATAGTCTAGTCTATAGTCTAGTCTATAGTCTAGTCTATAGTCTAGTCTATAGTCTAGTCTATAGTCTAGTCTATAGTCTAGTCTATAGTCTAGTCTATAGTCTAGTCTATAGTCTAGTCTATAGTCTAGTCTATAGTCTAGTCTATAGTCTAGTCTATAGTCTAGTCTATAGTCTAGTCTATAGTCTAGTCTATAGTCTAGTCTATAGTCTAGTCTATAGTCTAGTCTATAGTCTAGTCTATAGTCTAGTCTATAGTCTAGTCTATAGTCTAGTCTATAGTCTAGTCTATAGTCTAGTCTATAGTCTAGTCTATAGTCTAGTCTATAGTATAGTCTATAGTCTAGTCTAGTCTATAGTCTAGTCTATAGTCTAGTCTATAGTCTAGTCTATAGTCTAGTCTATAGTCTAGTCCATAGTCTAGTCTATAGTCTAGTCTATAGTCTAGTCTATCTAGTCTATAGTCTAGTCTATAGTCTAGTCTATAGTCTAGTCTATTCTAGTCTATAGTCTAGTCTATAGTCTAGTCTATAGTCTAGTCTATAGTCTAGTCTATAGTCTAGTCTATAGTCTATTATTGTCTAGTCTATGTCTAGTATATAGTCTAGTCTATAGTCTATAGTCTATTCTATAGTCTAGTCTATAGTCTAGTCTATAGTCTAGTCTATAGTCAGTCTATAGTCTAGTCTATGTCTAGTCTATAGTCTAGTCTATAGCTAGTCTATAGTCTAGTCTATAGTCTAGTCTATAGTCTAGTCTATAGTCTAGTCTATAGTCTAGTCTATAGTCTAGTCTATAGTCTAGTCTATAGTCTAGTCTATAGTCTAGTCTATAGTCTAGTCTATAGTCTAGTCTATAGTCTAGTCTATAGTCTAGTCTATCTAGTCTATAGTCTAGTCATAGTCTAGTCTATAGTCTAGTCTATAGTCTAGTCTATAGTCTAGTCTATAGTCTAGTCTATAGTCTAGTCTAGTCTATATCTAGTCTATAGTCTAGTCTATAGTCTAGTCTATAGTCTAGTCTATAGTCTAGTCTATAGTCCTAGTCTACAGTCTAGTATATAGTCTAGTCTACATCTAGTCTTTAGTCTAGCCTATAGTCTAAGCTATAGTCTAGTCTATTGTCTAGTCTATAATCTAGTCTATAGTCTAGTCTATAGGCTAGTCTATAGTCTAGTCTATAGTCTAGTCTATAGTCTGGACTATAGGCTAGTCTTTAGAGTAGATTGTCTAGTTTTTAGTCTGGTTTAAAGTCTGGTCTATAGACTAGAATTTTTAAATTTATTGTAAATTTTCTCTGTCATTAACAGGCTTTCTCCGTCTGCCCGATGTGGCTTAGGCGTATTTCTTCGGATCTGATTAATAACCATAAGGATTTTAAAATTTTTGACAAATTGCTAAAAATTTATAAGATGAGACGCATATGCATATACAAATTGCTATTTCTCACAATGACAAAATATACTTTTATTATAAGTATTTTAAATCCTTAAGCAAATCCTTTGCAAAAATTATATTATTACTGTTTCTTCAATATTGTAAATAAAACATTATAGTATGTTATTCTTGATGACAATATTTTGTTTTTAACAAACAAATATTTATAACAAAATCATGTTCTTTTTATTCTCACTATTCACAAAAATGTATAAAACAAGGATATTAAGGATAAGGATGTTGGATGTGTGTATGTATAAGATGTACTATACAAGTATGAATATTGTGTAGTATTTATATGTATGGCTAAGTGTTCATGTATATGTTGTAGTAAAAAAAATATTTATGGCGGTATTACTATACAAATACATTTTGTAAATGTAGGAATGTGAGTGTTCCAAAGGAGCAAACAACATAAACAGAAGATTTTTCCTATTGACAGATAGATGGATTAGATAGATAGACAGACAAGAATGAAATCACAGCAAATATCGCAATCACGTACAATTGTTATTTCACTAAATTAGAATTTACGATAGGGACCTTGATGTTGTTGTTGTTGCTGATTGCCGTATTGTTTGGCGGCGGCTGGTTGCTGATATTGTTGCTCCTCATGATAGGGATGAGTGCGAATGTATTCCAATGATTTTAAAATAGCTTCTGGAATTGGTGGTGGTGTAGGCAAATGAGCACCTTGTGGTTGGAAACCATTTTCATCGGCAGTATAAGTCAATTGAATCAATTCACCCTCAGGCGAGTAGTATTGAGAAGAGCCGGTGGCATAGTGGCCACCAACACCAGACTCCTGCTGGGCAATACCATTGGTGGTATCGAATTGATAATTGTAGCTGCCATCCTCTTTGATTTCGTTAACGAAATTACGGGTTTCAGCCTGATAATCAACAGCCAAGGCACAACCACAAATGGCTAAAGAAACAATGAGCTGTAATATATTGTGAATAGAGAAGAGAAGAAACAAATTTCATTATAATTAATTGTTTTAAAGCTCCTGCCTTGAAGAGTCCTTGAAATGTATTTCGTATAGAACATTAAGGCAGGAGGTTAGAAATAATTTAATTACTGCTTGATTTTATTTATAGATTTTTTTCTGTTCTTCCTTTAACAGGAAACTTACAATTTTGAACATTTTTGTTGAGTTAAGGTAAATGAGAATTTGTTATTGATGTTAAATCTTAAAGATCTAAAGTGTTTATAAAGTATTTGTGGCAAATGTGCACATATTTATATGCGCAGAATTTAATTGCACACAATCCCTCAAAACTCAAAATTAAAATATTGCAAATCGAAAAAAAAAACCGAAAAAAATTATTAACAAAAAATCATACACAACAAATTAATAATTTTACACTTTAAAGTATTTTTCTGTTCACTACATATTTACTTAATGTATCTATAAACTGGTAATAATTGTACAAGATCTTTTTTAAATGTGTAAGTAAGTACCTAAACATGTATGTGTTTATTTCAACTCTGGCTTTAGATTTCAAATAGAGATCATGCAGTGGATGATGATGTCGACGATGTTGATGATTACGGAATTATTTGTTAGTGGGTAAGACATGTCAGCCAACACTATTAACTAAAAATTGTGTTTTTCTTGCTAATATTAAATTTATCTAAGTATCTAAAACTTCATTCATACTTAAAACTCAAACACATATGTACATTTTAAAATTTAACTGTTTTTTTTTAATGTTTATTGGTGTTTGTGCTCTCTTAATCCCCTATTAAACTTTAAATTTTCAAACATTAAGCGGAAAAAGATGCTTGTATTTAAATATAATTTATTTTCGTTTTATGTTTAAACAATTTGCAGCTAATGTTTAGTGTTACAATTTTTGGAAACACAAAAAAAAAATGTTGTGATAAATACCAAAGTTATGGCAGTTATTTAAAAGAATGTTTTATTTAAATTGAAAGTAAAAGAAGTACAATGGAGAAAATGGATGAAGTAACTAACTAACTAACTAACTAACTAACTAACTAACTAACTAACTAACTAACTAACTAACTACTAACTAACTAACTAACTACTAACTAACTAACTAACTAACTAACTACTAACTAACTAACTAACTAACTAACTAACTAACTACTAACTAACTAACTAACTAACTAACTAACTAACTAACTAACTAACTACACTAACTAACTAACTAACTAACTAACTAACTAACTAACGAACTAACAACTAACTAACTAACTAACTAACTAACTAACTAACTAACTAACTAACTAACTAACTACTAACTAACTAACTACTAACTAACTAACTAACTACTAACTAACTAACTAACTAACTATCTAACTACCTAACTAACTACTAACTAACTAACTAACTAACTAACTAACTAACTAACTACTAACTAACTACTAACTAACTAACTAACTAACTAACTAACTAACTAACTAACTAACTAACTAACTAACTAACTACTAACTAACTAACTAACTAACTAACTACCTAACTAACTACTAACTAACTAACTAACTAACTAACTACAACGAACTAACTAACTAACTAAACTAACTAACTAACTAACTAACTACTAACTAACTACTAACTAACTAACTAACTAAACTAACTAACTAACTAACTAACTAACTACTACTAACTAACTAACTAACTAACTACTAACTAACTAACTAACTAACTAACTACTAACTAACTATATCTAACTAACTAACTAACTAACTAACTAACTAACTAACTAACTAACCAAATAAATAACTAACTAACTAACTTTGTCTAGTCTACAGTTTAATCTATAGTCTAGTCTATAGTCTAATCTATAGTCTAGTCTACTCTATAGTCTGATCTATAGTCTAGTCTATGTCTATAGTCCAGGCTATAGTCTAGTCTATATATAGTCTAATCTACAGGCTAGTCAATAGTCTAGTCTATAGCCTAGTCTATAGTCTAGTCGATAGTCTAGTCGATAGTCTAGTCTATAGTCTAGTCTATAGTCTAGTCTACAGTCTAGTCTATAGTCTAGTCTATAGTCTAGTCTATAGTCTAGTCTACAGTCTAGTCTATAGTCTAGTCTATAGTCTAGTCTATAGTCTAGTCTATAGTCTAGTCTAGTCTAGTCTAGTCTATAGTCTAGTCTATAGTCTAGTCTATAGTCTAGTCTATAGTCTAGTCTATAGTCTAGTCTATAGTCTAGTCTATAGTCTAGTCTATAGTCTAGTCTATAGTCTAGTCTATAGTCTAGTCTATAGTCTAGTCTATAGTCTAGTCTATAGTCTAGTCTATAGTCTAGTCTATAGTCTAAGTCTATAGTCCTAGTCTATAGTCTAGTCTATAGTCTAGTCTATAGTCTAGTCTATAGTCTAGTCTATAGTCTAGTCTATAGTCTAGTCTATAGTCTAGTCTATAGTCTAGTCTATAGTCTAGTCTATAGTCTAGTCTATAGTCTAGTCTATAGTCTAGTCTATAGTCTAGTCTAGTCTATAGTCTAGTCTATAGTCTAGTCTAGTCTAGTCTATAGTCTAGTCTATAGTCTAGTCTATAGTCTAGTCTATAGTCTAGTCTATAGTCTAGTCTATAGTCTAGTCTATAGTCTAGTCTATAGTCTAGTCTATAGTCTAGTCTATAGTCTAGTCTATAGTCTAGTCTATAGTCTAGTCTATAGTCTAGTCTATAGTCTAGTCTATAATCTAGTCTATAGTCTAGTTTATAGCCTAGTCTATAGTATAGTCTATTGTCTAGACTGGTCTATAGTCTAGTGGAAAATTAATTTAGTTTGTTACAAGTTACTTATCAGACATGCCTTCGCGAAGTTTCCTATTTAAAATCAGCAAAATCCATCCATAAACAGCGGAGATATAAGCAAAAATCCGAGACCACCTCTGAAAATTCAATAAAAAAGACATTTTTTGTCATGCTTTCATAATAGGCAACAACAACACTGCTTATTCATTGCTTTTTGTTAGTATTTCGTTTCGTATGTTTGGTTTTCTGTGTGTTTCATTGCGTTGTGTATTTTGTTTTTGTTTTCTTGGTGTATTCAGTTTCGTATGTTTGGATGTCTGTTGGTTTCATTGCGTTGTGTATTTTGCTTTTGTGTTTTGTGTATTTTCATTCGTATGTTTGGATGTCTTTGCTTTTACTCAGTAAAATTTACTGCCTTGCAGTGTGACCAGGTCTCAAAAATGTTGCGGCTAAATCCCATCCAAAATAATGCTAGAAAAAATGCTAAATTGATTTTAAAATGCCAAAAAATGCTAAAATTTTTAAGTGTTTTTATGAACAATTCATATTAATTTGTAACTGAAATTCATTGCAATTTATAACAAGTAAGAAAGTATATTCTGCCGTGGTTGACCATATGAGTATAAAATTTGATTATTTTTCGTAATAAAGCATTTATGTTGAATTGAACCTTGGTTCCGATATATTTAAACTAATTTTCTGAGAAAGGCTTTATACATTTGTATATGTATGGGGGCTAGGTAAAATAAAGGACGGACTTTAACAATTTTTAAAAGGTTTTGTTATTGGATCAAAAAGCATACGTGCTTATTGTTTTGAACATTTCAACCTCTACCAGACGGTCAGACTTACATGGCTTAATCGATTCAGAAAATGATTCTTAACCGATTAGTATACTCAAACGTAGTATAGTGGAGTAGGGTAAAAAATTAAGTTCCGTGGTATTAAGATAAACAGAAATGCTAAAAATTATTTTAAAATTTAGCAATATGTAATGTCTCTAACTTTAAAATATTTCTGAATGCAAAAATTACATAAAAACTCTATTAATTACACTAGTTGCTCATGGTATAAAACCTATATGTGTTTTCGGAAGGAAAAGTATAATATTTCTAGTTTTACTTTTTTTATATAAACAATTTTATTTGTCTTCCTCAAAACACTTTAAAAATGGTTTTCATGTCACAAAAATATTGAAAATTCCGTTGAAATAATTTTAAATCTCGGTGAATAGATGTCAGGTTTATAACTCATACTTCCAAGATTTTTTTCGGAAAAATATATATGAGAATGTATGAAATGAATTGAGAGATATATTCAAATCAGTAATTGTAATTCTGGAATAAATTGTCAATAATATTTTCGAAATGTATGTATTTTTTTTAATTAAAAAAAAACGTCACAACAAAATTACTAAAAATTTGTTAAAAATAAAAAGAACATAAAGTAGGATGAGAAAGTCTTAATTATATATTATTGATTTTTTTCAATACTTATTTTCAATAAATTAACAAGAACTCCTGAAGGATGATAAAAATTAAAACCTCTTTATTTCGTATAGGAAAAAATAAAATTTGTTAATTACCCGTCATACATAGCCTTTTCCAAAATTATATGTTTCATTCCATGAGCAAACAAAAAGTATTAGTTTGTAAAATAGCGTACTGAACGTATTTGTAAAAATATATGAAATCTCTTGAATTATTTCTATCACCTCGAATTTAAAAAAGCATTGGGTTCCAGAAAAATATTTTAGAATACAACATTTTAAAGTATTCACTTGTATTGGCGTAATTTTAAGTTATTTATCTTCATGAATCTTTTTGTATTATTTTGAATTACAGTGTAAATTAATACATTTCTCATATTTCTTGTTACTTGTGTTTGGGTAGGCATTTAATTCTGATTTTTTCCGATTAAACCTATTTCCAATATAAAACTTTTTTGCAAAAATTCGTCTTTTTTTTGTTTATATACTAAAATTGCAAAAAAAGCTAAAAATGCTAAAAATATTTTATAAAAATGCTAAATAAAATGCCAAATGCTAAATTAAAATTTTATAGCTAAATCAAAATAAAAAATGCTAAATCTAGCTGCAAAAATGCCAAAATGGTCACACTGGCATTAATGCCTTGTGTATTTTGTTTTTTTGTGTGTTTATTTCGTTTAGCGTTGTTGTTGTTCATTATGTTTTGCTATTGCTTAATAATGATATGATAGGGAAAATTAAATAAATTTTAATTTTACAAAATTTATATATTTTAAATACACTATGATGAAGGGTATATAAGATTCGGCATAACCGAATATAACATTCTTACTTGTTGTTGTTGTAGTTGTCTCCTTATTTCACAGCTGAAACACAATAATTAAATTTTTCTCCAATTTTGCTCCCATATGTACCTACAATTTCTTCTTTAAATAATAAAGTAATAACAACAACATATTAATGTATTATTAACACCTTCTTTCCAGTTTGAATGCTTGGAAACCAAAAAACAACGACCGCCTTCTACAATTGACTTAACAAATTTGGCAA